GGAGAAGCCTTTCCAAACAAACCATGTGAGTCCTAATACCAAGAGCTTCACAAGTGGCCCCTGGCTAGACCCGAGCTCCGCCACCACCAACTCCTTCTGTTTTTCTCATTCGCTTGCTTTCTCTCCATCCGCGGAGCGACGACAAAAGACGGAGATCTCCTTCTAATTGCTTCGCAGACTGAAAAAAGCCGAGAGGGTTCGGTGGGCGGCTGCAGAGGGGGAAATGAGATGGAGGCTCTGAAGGCAGCGGGGGACTGTCAGTCTGGCTTTGCCTGCCCTGGGTGAGCGGTGGCCGGGGATAAAGGAGCTGGCGAGGGCCGCGTCCACTGCAGAGACGAAGCTGAGCGGGACAGAGCGTGGGCAAGCGACTCCCAGGGCCTGGGCTTTACAACGCGGGCCAAAACCGAGCTCTATGAGAACGTTGAAGCTCTGCTGGAGGTCGTCTTCACACATGGGAAAGAACGTCTGGTCTTTAGTGCTCCGATTCAGAAATCAAAGGCGACAGCTCCTGGTGTGTCTGAAACAAGCGGGGGATAGCTGACAAGGAAGAGGAGAGAAACTCGTGGATTTCTGCTCAACTAAATAACTCTGCCTCTGAGAAAAGTTGAGCCAGCGTCCATAGGTGTGGCGGTGGGTGAGGAAATGTGTGAACACACAGCTGGGGTGGTCCGTGACCTCTGAATCAGTCGCCATGACATGCAGAGCTGCTAATAACACACAAATAAACATGGAGTGGTATGAGGGCCAAAATTAAGACTATTGCACACCCAGTGGAGGCTGTGTCAGCGATTCACAACCAGGGGTACGCGTAACCCTTGGGGTACGCAAGCATATTACAGTGGGTACGTGGAAAAATTTCCCATGTGTGTAAAAAATAAATAAAAGACAGATATGTAGGGCCCTATGATTTCCACAATGTGGAAAATGTAAATGGAATCATGAAATTAACCCAGTGGAACCCAGTATAAAACGCGGAATCTTACAGAATTTGCTCATTCGGGGTATTTGATGTATTTTGGACGTTGCCGCTTCCTGCACCTGCCATTACCTGGTTTATTTATATAATTAGTTATTCACTTTCAAGGCAACATATTTATCTTTACGTTTAATTTGAGTTGAAAAGAATAAAATGCTTGAGAGTCAAACCAGCTGTTGTACATTGGAGTTTTGCAGAATCATCATTACATTTGTCAGAGGAGATACTAYTGGTACGACAAAATGCCTCAGGGGGTATAAAAGTCTAAAAAGTTTGGGAACCACTGGACTATGTCAATGTAGCAGGAGGCTACTGTATGTTTATTCCAAAGCCAGCAACTGATCTGATTAATGATAGGCCAAAACCAGTAACTGAGAGACCAGAACTAGTAAGAGGCCTGCGCTGGCTAATGAGACTACTCACATGCTTTAGCATCGGAGTGGCTAGCATACCAAGACTCTCTACCCACTTTATTAGACACAGCAAACTTTTAAAAAGAAAACTTTAACAAGATAACATAATTTGACGCCAATGTGTTAAACGATTATTTCTTTATTTGTAAAATCAATACTAAAGTATAACTAAACAAGATGCTCAACATTCTTCATTTAAACACAGTGCTAAGATTGAGTTTTCATAATATTAGGACTTTAGTCTTGTAATAAAAAAATCTTAGTCTTGCTCTAATACTTGTAATACTCATTGTATTTTCTTGATAAAGATTATTTTAAGTATGCTGCCTATAATAAAGTGTGTGACTAGCCTAGGTATGCTAGTCACTAGCTGCTCCAGTGTTAATGCATTTGAATAATCTCATTTGCCAGCACCACCCTCTCAGGTGCTGGTTCTTGTCTCTCAATCAGATTAATAGGTGGATTTGGAAAAGATAAAGTCTCCTGCTACAAGGTCTTAACCACCACTGGGTGTGTAATAGCCTTCATTTTGGCCTTTATACAGCTCCATAAAAAAACGTCTCGACCTCTGCAGGACACTGCATCTCTATTGTTTGGTGGAAGTGTTTTGCTCAACTGTGGCAAAAAGCACAAAACATTTCAAGTTGAAGGAAATATTTTGTTAAGATTGTTTTGCTGGGGGGGAAAAAAGAGTTCCTTCTCAATAAAGTTTCAGTTCAAAGGTTGACTATAAAAGTGCCTCCTCATCTACATGTGTAGCGACATGAGATCCAAAGGATTCTGGCCTTCTGAGCTCCTCAAAGTTCCCCCAGTCTTCCCTCGCTGACCTCCTTTCATCCCTCCATCCCTCCGCCTTTTTTTTCTTTTTTCTTCTTAATACAAATCAGCCACTCAATGTCATGCACATGTTTTAGTGCTATTTGAACTCTGGCAGAGAACTTCAAACGGCTTTCAAAGTGAGCCGAGTTCCCCCCCTCGCACCCCTTGTGCTCTCCATTTTTGTCTCCTTTTTTTCCCCCCTCTTTTTTTTGAAAGAACAGAGCCGTGCTTCCGAGCACACCTGATCAGAAGGTCGAGGGATGGGGATTATGATATGCAAATGAGGCTTTGTTATCATCGCTGACATTCGTTAGAAAACCGAACGGGAGGAGAGGCAACATGAAAAGAGGCTAACTCACCGCTCCCAACCCCCTTTTACCTCTTTTAGCATAACTTACTCTCTCATACACGTCAGCCTGCCTAAGCCCTTTTTTTAGATTTAGATCAAAAGGTTACGCTGTGTGAGGAAGGACACACTAATATGTGATTGTACTTAGTTGAGAAAACTGATTGGACAGGCAAGCCAAAAGTGCTTTGTTCAGGAAAATGTTAAAGGTATAGGCTTGTCATTTTTTAAGTGACATTCTGTCAAATAGTTTAGTTGTGACATCAGAGCACAGAGGGCAGAAGTCTTCCTCCAGGCTAGACTAAAACCGGCTTCATTATCCATTTAAGGGAGGCTGTCTCGCTGATGAGGTTGCATGATGAAAACTGCCTAACCAAGACCCCGTCGTGTGCATTGCCCCCAGAGAAAACTACTTTCTTGCAGGGTATGGTCCAAATATTGAGCAACCAGTGAGAACTTTGTATGCCTGTTTGTTTATAAAATCAGGCTGACGTACGCTGCTCTCATCTCAGCTCAGCTGAAGAGCTTCTGATTGAAGCTGTAAGAAAATGCAGCCAAAGAACACCTGGAAGGAGACTGGAAAATGTTTGTGCAGTGCAAGACACAGGAAGCTCTCCTAAAGGGAGTGCACCTCAGCTGGGCATTGTGAGAATCCTTCCTGTACTGTCCGTTGGAAGCAGGGGCGCTTTCTTTGGCTCCTTGTGTGGCTAGCCATTAGCTTAGCCTGGAAGACTTTTGTCTTCTCATACAACATCCTAACTGATGGTTGACAAGACACTAATTATTGATAACTCTTAGACAGAAACTTCAAGGACCATAAAACATCTTTAAAACCAGAAATGATAGCTGACTGTGATTGTTCTGTGTGCTGCTCAGACAGCACCAAAATCACCAATCACTTTAGAAACTCTTTCATGTCTCCTCCCTGCTGGGACTGGATAAAGGCGAGGACACACAAACACAAATACACAGAGTCGTCCTCTTTTTACGTTCCACGCACAGAAACATGCATCTGTTCGCCTCCTGAAGCTGCCTTTTGAAGCTGCGTACGGTTCAGTTCAAAGAGCCCGAGCAAGGTGGCAGCCTGTGCTACTTTTCCAGCTATTAGTCTGGCCCCACCATCTGCAGCAATCTGGTTGAGGAGGGGGCTTTATGAACTTCATAAAGGGACAGTTATTAGAGATGCTGAGTGGAGACGGGCCATGTGGTCTTTGAATTTACTAGCGGGGGTCCTGGGTGCTTTGATGTGGAACAAACCGTTAAAAAATCAGAGCGGCAAAGGGAGCAACTAATGGTTACAGAAGCGCCTTTTTATGGAAGTGTGTTAGCCTCAGTTGGTGATCGAGTTACTTACCTTGGTACCAGAATTAAAAGTCTTGCGTAAAACTATTGTAATTTCGATTTTTGTCAATAAATTTCAAATTTGTTTTTGCAAATGTTGTGTCTCTCCTGCTGTTTATAATGACCCTGAAACCGTCAGTTGGCTAGTGATTAATTTCTGCAAATTTCATTAAAATCCATCCAGTGGTTCATAAAATARTTTGCTAACAAATGCCATGTGCACACACAAACCTGAATAAAAACTTTATTTACTTTTATGAGCGTTGAGTGATAATTGTTACATAACTGCTAACATTTAGCTACTTTTAGCTAATGTTTTGTTAGTTTAAGCTTTTAACTCAGCACTTCTTAATTTATTTTATTTTGCCACCATCCTGCTCTTGTTAGCTTGTTTTTTTTACTTGTTTTAACTTTAACAGCTCTTTATTAGCTTCTTCAGGAAATACATGGACTCAGCATCTACAATTACATTTAGTAGGAAATGATTTCTGAAGTTAAACTCCATTTCTCCCCACTGAGACCCTACAAGACGATATCTGTAACAGGTAAGATGTTATTTGGTAGTAACCTTTTCATAGAACCCCACTTTTAAAGATCTGAACTTTCACTTCAGTGATTTAATGCAGAGGTTCTCAAACTGGGGTCCCAGGACCCCCAGGGGTCCACGAGAGGTATCTTGGGGGTCCTCAAAAAATTTCACTAAATTGTTAATTTGGCTTTTATTTTTAAAAACGCACAGAGAACAATTAACTAATGAAACAATCATGATAAACTTAATAAATATATATATTCTTGTGGCATTTAGAGGTTGAAATGACAGTAAATTATCTTTCAAAACAGCAGGGGATTTATGAGGGGGGTCCCTGAAATTTTTTTCGCCCTTATAAGGGGTCCCCAGACCCAAATGGATTGAGAACCCCTGATTTAATGCAAGCAAACTGCAGTTTTTCAGTTTGTCCACTAGATGGAGCTCTTACATCAGGTTGAGGAGCTGCTCTCCTGTTGATGCGGAGAAACACAGAAACATGAAGCTCCTTTAGATCAGATTCACAGTAAAATACCAGAACAGCGTTATTAATAATCCTGTCTGATAAAAAAAAAAAAGAGAGAAAGGAGACGCATGCTCCTCCTGTCAGTGTAGGGTAGACTGACGTCAGAATGTGTCCCTGACGTAATCACGTCAGCCCTGCAGGTGGCGGCATGTCCAAGCTAATGTCATCCGTTCAAAGCGACCCAAACTCGGACACAGAGCTCCTGTTTTCCTGCTCTGACACATGTGGTAGGTTTTATTTCTTGCTTTTAAATTTCACCTTTTTAACTTGTTTTTTTTCTTCTTTTCTTTTCTTTTCTGTTCACCTACCTTTTATTGTATTTTTTCCCCATGTGATATTATTTACAGGGCGAAGGGGAATCCACTGCAAAGCTGTGACGCAAATCAGCGTCTCCTGCTGCTGCAGCAACAATAAACCCTGAATCCCAGCAGCGAAGCCGAAGGTCGGGTTTAATCATTCAGAAGGTGAGGAGGAGGAAGAGGAGGAGGAGGGGNGTGTGGCACCAAAATTATCACCAAAACAATACACGCCCAAGAAACAGGAGCTCGTGCGCGTTTCGTGCGGCGCGAAGCGAGGTGTCAGCCAGCCAGGTGCGGGACAGGAGGACAGGACAGGCGGGCTCCACCGGACCTCCGCATCCCGCAGACGTGGCGCCTGGATGCGGCCTGCGGCTGAAGATCTGCCCGGTAAGACTGAACACCGTGCCTCCTTTTTTATGTCGCTGTCTGCAGACACGCAACAAAAGGAGGAGGTGATGGTGGTGGTGATGGTGGTGGGGGGAGACATCCGAGAACAAGAAGTGGAGGATGGAGGGAACAGAACAGGCATAATAACAGTAATAATAATAAAAACAGTGTTTCATGTTTGTAGCTGACAGAATGCTGCAGAATAGCATCTGAGGCTGTTTCCTGTGGGGCTGGCCTGGGTTTCTGAGCCTYGGCTTGTTTGTCTGACTGTTAGCAAAATATCTCATGAGCCAGTGGAGGGATTMGAATGAAACTCAGAGGAAGTAATCAGTGGATGTACATCTATAGCTGKTTAACTTCTGGAGTCAACCCAATTCAACATGGCTGCCACATCTAAGGAATCTTGTCCATCTTRAAAACAGCTATAATTCAGCTAATATTACAGCTATTAAGCTAGGATTTGGTGTGGTAGTAGCTGAGAGTAATCCTCTCAGCTAAAGGATGGTGGGACACCTTTTTGTACAACTTTGCCATTACCTAATAGAAAGAATATATTTCCTGTCTGTTAGCAAAATATCTAATGTACTACTAGCTGAATTGTAATGAAACTTTCCGATATTAATCAATGGGTGTACCTCTACGTCTGATTAACTTTTGGACTTATCCCAATTCAAGATGACTGCCACAGCCAATCAAACTTAGCCAACACATAAAGGAGTATAAATACACGAATTWTACAAAATTTGAGCTAAAATTTATCGTGGTAGTAGCTAACCATCTCCCCCAACACATACTCAGAGAGTTACAAATTCTGCTTCATCTTTACTTAAAACTTAGGCATTAAGTATTAGCGTCAAACCTGTCTGCCTGTTAGCGAAATATCTTATGTATGTCTGGACAGATTTTAGTGAAACTCTCAGAAAGTAATCATTAAGTGTARMTCTACAACTGATTAATGTTTGGAGTCAATGCYGCTGCAGCAGCTATTCAGCATTTGCCAACACAAAAATATCTAAAACTAAGTCGGTTTTAGAGACATTTAGGTCAAATTCGGCGTGGCAGTAGCTGAGAGTCWTCCTCAACACATAGTTCAAGCACTAATGGATCACYTAATGAGATGGTGCAAAATGCCATTTACAAGTTTTGACCTGAATGTCAATAACTTTGTCACTAATCGTCAKAACACGATTTTGGTCTAAAACTCTGGCGTGAACGGACGATATGCATTCCTCCAGAGTCTGCTAGGGCTTTGGTTCTTGGAGGTGGTTCTTCMTGTCGAGGCYGGTGACGGATGCTTCATTATCCATGCCTACCTGCTGTGAGCCGATGCTTTCACTTCTCAGCCCGTGGGACCCGCTCTGATTGGTGGCCTTTATAAGAATGGGGTCTTCAAGGAGCTTTTCGGCGAGGGTGATTATAGAGCAAATGTCAGCCCGTTAGATACAGAACATATTGTTCTAGATCTCTAAGCAYATGAGCGTTGAAAGTGATTACAGTTATCCCTGACAGATGGATAASAGTGATACATTTTAATTATGGAAAGTCCAGCACCCCCATGTGTCAAATTCAGCAAATTCATCTTCTTTTCTGTGTGTTTCAGGTTTTTTCCCTTCTGGATCCATGGCCGTGCTGTTTGTCAGTGGAAGAGGAGATTGAATGCCTCTAAAACCTGCAGGTTAGGCTCTGCTCTCCCTTTTTGACCTTGTGTTTTTACGTGGGAGGTGTTGGACTTCATCCACGGCCCTGAACATCTGCTGCCGGCCTTCCCGTCCCTAAACCCTGGGCCCCAGACCTGGTCCCGTGATGTTTTCCTGGTTGAAGGTTTTGCGAGCGCTTCCTGTGTTTAATTAGATAAATGGCTGTGTGTGTGTGT